ACACACACACACGCTTTTTTCATTATCCTTATTTCCATCCGTACCTATTGTTACTCTCAACAAGCATTATGTAACAGAAAATTTATTCCCAATAGAAATAAATCCACCAATCCAGTTTTTGGTCTCAATGTAGTATTTGAAATTACTTTCTTAATATGAACATTTGTTTCTAATAAATCATTCCTTCTGCCTCTCATTAGTCGTCTTAGAATGTGTCAGTTGGTTACCATACGTGAATCATTTTAAGTTGTCTTTATTTCTTATTTTTTTGAGAGAGTCTCACTCTGTTGCCTGGCTAGATGCCTGCATCAAGCCTAAGCTCAAAGCCGCCCGAACTCTGGGCTCAACACGATCCTCCTGCCTCAGCTCTGAGTAGTTGGGCACTACATAGGACGTCACACCGCTCTGGCTAGTGCGTGTATACTACTATACTGATACTGTTGTCGTTGTTGTTGTTGTTGTTGTTTTAGTTGCTCCAGCTATTTCTTTCTATTTATTTTATAGAGATCGGATTGGTCTTGTCAGGCTGAGTTTGCATCTCTAGCTCACAATCGCCAACTACAATCAGCATCAAGAAATGTACAAAGGAGTGACCACCATCACCCAGCCTCAGTTTATTTAATTCAACTATATTCACTTATCAACAGCATCCGTAGTAAAACCTCTCCTGTTACGAGTGTCAATGATGTTACTATACGCTTACCTAAAGGCAACACATTATTTCTAAGTTCTTCAACCTTTCTCATCATTGCCACAATTACATTTAAGTAACGCATTAGCCTCAGAATACAGGCATCCCGGGTTAAGACCGACCTGACTTCAGTGCTTCCCATACTTTGAACAGGCTTCCCAACGGCTCCAATTGAGGATAATTTAGATATTAGTTATGAGTTGATGTCCATTTCTTAAGTACTAAGTTTGACAGTTGAAATCACTGAATTTACTTTGACACTTCATGTTTTGTCTTTTTATTGTGAAGGTACATCTCACTCTTGCAAATGCACTGTTTGGCTTGTGATTATCCTTCAAAGTTTATTTTTAAAGCAATTTTTTTGGTGCCCTGCATAGTCAAAAATGTACTCTATTCTCCACATATGATTTCCCTCATGGATGCCAATGCAGCAAGACACTCAAAATACCAACGAAGTGGTTGGAGAAGAGGTGTGATAAATGAACGCACAGTACTCGGATGGTTTGAGAAGTTCCATTCTGGTGACTTTAATCTTGACAATGGAGCCTCGTGACGCGACTTGAGCAAGCCGTGGATACTACTGAAAGCTGTATGGACGCGAATCCACTCAGTCTGTGCGTCAATCCAGCAGCAAGGTATGGCCGTTACTAATCCAATAATATGGTCATTTGAAACAAATCACAAGGTAAGAAGTTGGACAGATGGGTACCTGGATGAATACAACAAGGAGCATCAGAAGAGAAATCGTTCTTCGCAAGCTTACATTAAGTGGCAACGTGTCATAGCTTTAGGCACTACTTTGATTAATTGTACTGCTGCTTGTTTGAGACTATAGTAAACTGACTTGTTGTAATCGAAGATTTCAATATTTAATGACGTAATACATTAAATTAATATTCAAGCCTCTTTTTTCCTCCGCGTATGTCAATGACCCCGTGGCCTCCCGCGCAGTTCATTAGCCACTGTCTTATTCAGCTTGAGCTGCTGATATTTACATGGAATCAACATAAGGTCCTATAGACTAATCAAATTATCCAAGATCTATCGTTTCATTAATTTAGCCTTTTTTTTATTTAAAAAAATCTTGGCATATACTAAATCAACACAACTACATAATTTAATAAAGCCCAATTCAATATGGAAATCAAATTTCAAGATAAGCAACAGACCATTAATACAAGGTCCTTCATGAGCTTCGATCTTGTCGGTTATCTATCTATGTTGCATACCCTGACAGCAACCTGACTAACCTGGCATGTTTGTATTGATTTTTATTCCTTGTAACATCAAGAGAAGCCGCCTTTTCTTATTCATAATTTGAATTCACAACCAATCTCAATTTATCAAATGATTTTCTTCGAGTTAGGAGTCGAACTCAATTATCAAATTTAATTATATCTCTATTGGCTGTGTACAGCTTCAAAATTCTTGTTTAAATTTATTTCAGAGACTTTTTAGTCTTTTAAGATCAATAAATTTAGGCTGTAAATTACCTTTTCCCGGCACAAAGCGATGTGGGCTTACGGTTTTCCATACTTTCACCATTACACTTTTATTTTGAGACAGAGTCTGACTCTGTTGCCTGGGTAGAGTGCCATGGCATCAGCCTAGCCTCCGCACCCAGTCAAACTCATGGGCTGAAGCAATCCTCTGCCTCAGGCCCCTGAGTACGCTGGGACTACCGCAGGCGCCACCATGCCGCCATTCTTTCTATATTCAGTTTATTGAACTCAAGTTCTCTTCTATTTTAGTAGACACACAGGTCTCGCTCCTTGCCCGCTGGTCTCGAACTCCTGAGCCTCAAATGATCTTCCCAGCTTGCCTCCAGAGTGTAGGATTACAGGCGCGAGCCCCCACCTGCCGCCTCTACACTTATCTTTAGTGTACTAGTTATTGGCTTCTCTCTTCTGATATCCTTTATATATTCTTTCATACTGTTGAGGTAGAGACCTTGACCATTAAGAAAAGTTAATTTCTTTCCTTATTCAACATATTTTGAAGGATACGCAAAGATCTTCAATCGGCAAAAGATACACTTTTCACATTAGTCATAGACTGTTTTATGCAGAGATCTAAAAGATTTTTTTTCTGTAAAAATTATCATACCATCTCAATAGATAATTACCTACAAGGTCTCAACTCAACTTGAATCTTTTTTTCAAATGAATTTAGAAGGCATCTGTTTTTCAAGGGGAAAAAATATTAGGTACTACGCGTTAGATGATTAATTAACTCTGTTCACGATAGAAAATAAGTCGACTGGGCACACTGCAGAGCTTCTACATTTTCCCAGCATGTGTTTCTCCTTGCAACCAATATGAAGAATACGCAAAGTTTTCCTAGATTTCTTAATTTTGTTGCAGTATGTGACAGTCTTCTACATTTAGATACTATTATGCTATCTTAATGCAATGGGTTTGTAAGAGAATCTTTTATATATACACTATCACTATAAGCATGTATATATTTTTAACGTGTACCTCCTATTGCAGCTACAATTAGTATATAATGGCCTTTACCAACTGAACTCAATTTCACCTATCTGTTTTTAAACTGGGAGTGCCTATGCTGTTGTAAAATTGGTTCCTCTCCAGTCATCAACAACATACCCTCTTTAATGTGACTTACTATGACCAACCCACACACTTCTCCACCATACAACCACTAAAACCTACTCCCTCGCTCCCTCCTCTCCCAGCCTCTCAGCAATCTGCATGCATTCTCTACTCTATGAAAATACAGAGGCTCAAATCTTTTTCAGGGAAGAAAACGATAATGGCCCCTGTATGGCTACTGAATCAGAGATTCTCAGTATCCTGTCAGAACATCTCGTTTGAGTTCTCAGGGTCGCCTATGATAAAAACTTAAACTTTCAGAACTCCAGGTTAACATAAGATTCAAAACTCATGGTAAACGGTAACCCAAATGGTACAACGTGAGGAGATATTTGCACACACTCTGAGAGAAAAGAGCATTAATATATTGTGTATCCTCTTTTGAGTTATAATAAAGGCAACCCATCCCCTCTAATTAGCCTTTTAGTATAAGTCACCAGATTTATTTATTTCTTTATGGGCAAGATGTTTCCTACAGATTTTCATCTGGTTCACCTAGAAAGGACTCCTACATGGTGGTCTCAGGTGGGCTGGTCAACATTGAAGGACCACCAGAAACAAAAGGAGAATGCTATTTCTGCGCGAAATATTCTTACACCAGAATGTGAATGAGTTTCGCATCAGCTATGCTTAAATTAACAACAAATGAATGTTTTGCCGTCGTTAGTGTGTAATAGCTTTTCCTTCCTAAACTAATAACAGTTCTCTGAACCTTGCAGAACGAAATTCACTGCAAAGCAGACATATTTGTTGTATGAACAGGGAAGAGATAGCAAAGTTGTATGGTGCTGATGCACGGATCAATGGTTACTCATCTGGTGTTTGTAAATTGCATTCTCTCCTCTCGCGCCTACCGCCCCCCCCAACATGATTTGGCATTTAGACATGACTCAATCCTCATCACATTCATACATCTTGTAGTCTAGTCAACAGGCCTAATTTGCAGCATACTCTTGTCTCTCATAAACCTCCTTCTTCCAATACCGAATAAGTTCACTCATCACTTTCCATCTTTCCAGGAAATATTTTGGGGAGACAATCCTCATCAACTTGCAACAGTGCATCACGGCCCTTGATGATGGCCCAACATTTTCATAAGCTGCTATTTAATCATTGGCATGATACCTTTCCAGTGGTTCTGCACTTAAGCAGTCCTTCAACTAACAGGTGATGATGCCAATGATTCCACGAAAACTGATGTTCGTGAATCGTCACACAGTTACTCTTGATCTGATGCTCATCCGGGCACATCCACATACAGCTGGTGCATTCAGAGCGTTCAAC